AATCACTTATACATTATATGTATGAGACATAGTACTAGTGCTATCTCTTTTTTCGCTCTTTCTTCAGAAATTTGCCATGCTGTAAATGTTTAAAAAATAATAATAATTAAAAGGACGATTACTTTTTGCTTTGGAAATATCTTTAAAATTATATTGGTATGCTATTTAAAATACATGCTTCTAGGTAAGTTAGCCTGCTTGCTGATCTTAAAATTGCCCTCTTCCCCGAGAATCAAAATATTCTCATTTTATAATACTGATAACAGCTTGAAGGGCACTTAAATCTGACAGTGTACCTCCCCCTTTACCACTTATAGAGCACGTCTTTTCTCTGTGAGCTACTTTAAAGTGTGAAGAGCTAGGTCATTAGTTGGCATATTCTCTATTCCATAAGTCAGAAAACAGATTTGGGACGAGGCACCGGCTAGCGTCTGCAGGTATATGTTTGCTCTCTCACGCTCACCCTTACATCATCCACTTCGGTGATCTCAGCTTCTGTGGTGCTTCTAACAGCTTCTTTGTTGACGTTTCAGCCTTCCCCCCGAGTTCTGCTCTGTCGTCCCTCTGTTGGAGTCATTTCCTCAAATCGTTTCCCTTGATGGGATCTGTTTATTTTCCCCTGTTTATAGCCGTCCTTCTTGCCATCCCAACTCAAAATGTTTCACGCTTCTGTCCTTTTATTTATACAGCCTCACCGCCTGGGGTTTACTGGACTCTCTGAGGCAAGCTGTGTGTCTCCTAGCACTGGTGGGAAATTGCTGGACTTTGTCTTTTCCAAAGTTACATCTTATCTTTGATTTTCTGCAATCTGAACATCCTACACCTAGCTATAAATTTTTCGGTATAAGGCATTCTTCATTTCTGTTGCAGTGTTCGGATTTTTAGCATTTCCTTTTAATTCTTGATTAGAATTTCCATCTTTCTGTTTACATTGCCCATCTGTTCTTACAGGTTGTCCACCCCTTCCATTAGCGTCTTTAACATTCACCCTAGTTATTTTGAATTCCCCGTCTGGTGATTCCCAGATCCCTGCCATGTCTGAGTCTGGTTGTGATGCTTGCTCTGTGTCTTCCTAGCGTGTTTTTTCCCTGTTAGAACACCCTGTAGTATTTGGTGGATAGGCATACGTGATGTAGTGAGGAAAAGGAACTGAGGTAAATAGGCCTTTAGCGAGAGGGTTTATGTTTATCTGGCTAAGAGTTCCTCTTTTTATTGTTTCCTGTAGCTGTAGGTGCCAGAGGCTCAAATTTCCTCTGACGAAATAAGGGTTTTTATCCCTTCTGTTGTCTTACGGTTGCCCTAAAGATTCCTTTTTAAATACAGTTCTTGCACATTCTTGCCCGTTCTGTCTGCTGTAACGCCATTTTACCACACAGGAGCCTGTACGATGTTGTAGTGAGGGGTGGGAGGAGAAGTTCGGGCAATGTTCTATAATTTTATGATTATTTTTCAGTCTTTAGTGAACCTGTGCCCCTGGGCTGTGACCGTCACAGGTGTCAGCTTTTTACTATTTCCTCTTTATATGGGAAAGGAAGGTTACAGGGGGTAGAGCTGACCATTTCCCTTTCCCCAGGTCAGTTAGTCTCTTGTTCAGTAAGCAAACAGCAGATAAGAAAAAATGGATACTTCTGCCATTTTGGGGGATTTTTTTTCTGGAAGCCTTGAACCTTTTTTGGCTTTATTCCCTCCATTTTGGCTTTAGTTGATTTTTTGTACTGTGCTATTTTGATTCTTTCCTCACTTCCTCTTGTGCAATTTTTTTAAGGATGTTAGTGTTTACCATGGGGATTACAATTAACATCCTAAATTTATAAGAGTCTAGTTTGAATTGGTACCAGTTTGATATTAATAGCATACAAAAACTCTGCTTATATACAGCTCTGCCCCCATTTATAGTCTTGTCAGAAACTATATGTTTATAATTTTGAGCCCCAAAACATAAATTCTTAATTGTGTTTATGTATCCACTTTTAAATCAGGTAGAAAACAAAAACTAGAGTTCAAAACCAAAAATGCGACAGTATGGCTTTGGGTTACCGTCTAGCATCCTTTCATCTCAACCTGAAGGATCCCTTTGGCATTTCTTGGAGGCAGGCCGAGTAGTGATGAACTTGCTTTCCAGAGTTCTGACAAAGTTGATTGTGGCTGTTTGTCTTGTGATGTTTCGGTTAAAACCCAGTTTAAAGGAGCATTTCTTTAATTCTTTAGGGACATTGTCCCCAGTCATTCTGGGCCACAGAGAGTGTTTAAAATGTGTTAGTGTCCCAGTCATTCAGAGGGCCAGAATTCTCACAGCAACGTGTTCTCTCTCTCCCTAAACCAAGGCGAGGTGGGGCAAATTCTGTGTATTGGTTTACTGTGTCTAGTGCATTAATTACCAAAACCTAGGTGGATTAAGACAACGGAAATGTATTCTCTCCCAGATCTGGAGGCCGGAGTCTGAAATCAGGGTGTCGGCAGAACTGCTCTCTGGGGGAGAATTCGTTCTTTGCCTCTTCCAGCCTCTGGTGGTTCCAGGCTTCCTTGTGGCCACATCACTTTTATCTCTGCTTCAGTGACCACATTACCACCTCTTTGGTCTGTCTTTCCTTTTTCAAAAAAAAGGTCACAATCACAGTTTGCGGGAATTGGAGCATGGCCTTATCTTTTGGAAGGTTATTATAAAACCCACAACGTTCTCTTAATGTTTTTCTCTGTGGTGAAGGGTCTTTTTGAAACTACTCCTTTTAGCATGGGTTCCTTTTTCAGTTTTTTGAAAGTGGTTTCATTGGACGTCCCAGTTTGTGTAGACCCTAAGCTTTTTCTCGTCTCACTTTCTTGGCCTTTAGTGCCAAATCTTTAAGCCTCCAGGACCACCAGAAAATCTTAATGTTCAGGTATCTCTTGGAATTCACTTTTTTTTTGGCCTCTTGTGGATTTTTCTGTTTCTTCCTCCCTCGGCTGTTTATTAATTTTGTTAAATTAATGTTTTATATTGTACTTTGACATTTTCTGCTACATTGTGAAAAATGAAAGTCTTTTTCTCTCTATCATGAAGCACAGCTGTTAGGCTTCAGATCTGTCTTCTTTACCCCTCCTTAGTGTCAGGGCCTCATCGTCTGTTGAGAACAGCCTGTCTGCAGCCTGTATCCCTCCGCCAAGACTGTCTTCATGAACAGCCCCTTGATGCTGTTCTCCTGCTCAGATCCTCCAAGGCTCACCATTGTCTAATGCTTCAGGGTCTGCACAAGACTTTTTCACTCTCCGACACAGTTGGTTCTTTCATTACGGTTTGGTAATAAAGATCAATTATAAATGTAGTTTCCTCCTTTGATGAGCTTGTGTGAAACTTCAGACACATTCTTAACTTCTGTCTCTTATCCCTCAAACCCATTGGTCACCGGGTGCAGCTGGGCGCTGGGAATGAAGGGATGCCATCACCTCTCGCTTGTTCTGCACACACGTAGGCACCTGGTTGAACTGGTCAAGGACAGAGTCACATCCACGTGGATTAGATAATAGTACCGCTACCTGTGATTCACAAACCAGACCTTACCTTTAAAATGTCTTCCATTCTTGCTGCTCTGCTGTCAGGTTGACTGGGCAAGTTTAGTAGGTAAAATCTGGACAGTTAAGTGCTTTACCCAAGATAACCAAGAGGCCTGCTACTCTTCCCAGTCCACTGTCTTTTCCCAATCTGTTATCTCCTGCCTCATTTTCATCATAGTCTTCCTCTCAAGATTGTTTTTCCTAAGAGATTAATAATTTGGTAAATTAGAAGGATGACCTAATGCTCACAGTTTTAGAAACTCACTGATGCCTTCTTGCTTGTTCCACTATTTATTCTAAATATCATCTCCAGCTCCTGTAGTTCTCTGTTAAGGGGGCAGCTTTTGAGAGTGTTTTCACATCCAGGATTCCTGTTAGGACAAAAGCCACTTGTAAAAAAAACTTGGTCCTTCCCTTTGAATTCAGATCTGGCTAGAAGCAAACTGCCCCACAGGAGGGAAAGAACTTGTTAAAATTTTATTCTCTCTCGCTCAGCTTTTATACATTCAGTGTGTTTTGAGCCATAGCATTTGTGTTACACTTTGGGACTCTCAAGTTTTTATCTTTAGCTATATTGACTCCTGTATTTTTGGACCTGAGCCTTCAGTCTTTGATAACTTCTTACTTTCTAGGACATTGAAAGATGTACTAGGTTTATCATGTACTCTTTACTTCCCCAGACCTGGAAATGACTGTTCTTCCTGTCATAGGGAGTTAATACTTAGAAACCATAAATCTGGGCTGCTTGCTTGGCATTGCTTCTAGGCATAGGAAATATCTGTTTGGGGGTGGGGGGGCATCTCGGGCAGTACTCAGAGTTAGTCAGGTGGAGGGCACAGTCCTCCAGAAGTCTGCCCAAAACTTCTAACCCCAAGTGTAAAGAGTTAGGCTCCAACCTGAGACTTACACTAAAGAGTCCACATGTGACCACTGTCACTTCTGGCACCAACTGCAAGTTCAGAGGGTTTCCCAAAAATCACCCTCAAGTTTGATCATTTGCTAGCAGAGTTCACAGACCTCATGGAAGCTGGTGGGAAGGGATGGAAATTAGGCAAAGGGAAGAGATGCACGGGGCCCAGTCTGGGAGAGGATCCAGATATGTAACTTGAGGTTGTCCCTCCCCAAGGAGCCGTGGGCAGCGTTGCCTCCTCCTGGCCCCAGCGCATGACAGGAGTATGGACAGCGTGTTACCAACCAGGGCAGCTCACTTGAGCCTCGGTGTCCAGAGTTTGCATTGAGGCTTCAGGATATAGGTATGATTGCTCACATGGTTGGTCTCAGTCTCAGGTGATACCGTGTGACCCAAAGCTCCCGCCCTGAATCGTTACGGTTGGTTTTTCTGGTGTGGCCAGCTGCACCCAGGTCACCTCGTTAGACTAAGCCATCAGGCGTGTTGAGGGGCCCACAGTAAGTAACAGAAGATGCTCCTGTCACTCGGGAAATCCCAGGGGCTTAGCCTTTTCCTCAGTAGCCGGGACAAAGTTTAGACTTCTCTTCAGGTGAAGCCAGATTTCTTACTACCCAGGCAGTTAACTTTTTTTTTTTTAATATTCATCCAGAATAGGTAGAAAATGATTTCTTTAAAGCTTTTTCTTTCCATTCTAGAAATTACAGAAGAAATCCCCATGAAGAGTTTGAACACGAAGACTGTGTATGTTTCTGTGTTACCGACGACAGCAGACTTCTAACATTGTTATCAGTGTGTTTCAGTCAGCCTTTCCCTGGCACATCCCTGTCCCCTGCGCGCGTGTGCGTGTGCGCACACACACATACACACACAGAAGATATTTCCTTCAGGTGCATGTATAATATGCTGCTTTTGGTCTAAAATTGAAATGGGATTGATTCATCAGGTGACTTGAGAATTTACAGTAGTATTCACACTCAACCTTAAACACCTATGCATTCATGCTGGGGGGAGTTACAATGTTACCTCAGCACTTCACAGTATATTTCTGTACTTGAATTTTTAAGTATAGAACACAGAAGTGGTTTAAATGGTACAGTATATATATTATATCATCCTATGGCCTTTCAAAACTTATTTGAGATCACTTGAAGGAATGGACAATGTTATATATTTTCGCTACCTGCGTTTTCCTGCATAATTTGATGGAATATTTTAAGTTTCAGTAAATCAAACCAATAAACTTTCTCTCAGATAATACATATGTTAGAAGTAATTCATTCTCCCATAGTTCAGTGACACTTGGAATTTGTAATCTTTAAAGAACACAAAAGCTTAACAGTAACTCCTGCATATATAAGACAGTAGACTTAAACATCTAATTTGACTTCTTCCCAAAATCCTTTGTCAAAGAAGCACATGCCAAGACAAAATTAGATGTGCAAGAATTTATTGGGGGAAACATACATAAAAGATAAAGGAGAGAGGGAGAGGGCAAAGGGAGAGGCAGCCTTCAGAAAGAGTCCAGAGTTAGGCAGAAATGACCTGGCTTTGTGCTCGAGCCTTGCTCACTCAGGGGCTGGGAGCAGCTGGGGGGACCGTGACCTCAGCATAATTGATCTGTGGATCTGAAAATGTGGTAGCTAGGGGCTGCCAATCAGCTGTACCCCTTACATCAGATTCTCCTGAAAGGAGCTCTGAATGATACATCTCTGGCTGCTGGAGTAAGTGCATTCAAATCCAAACCCACAAAATTGGAGGAAACCGAACAAAATAACAGGTGTTGTCAAGGATCAGAGAAACTGGAACCCTTCTGCACTGTTGGTAGGAATGTAAAGTCTTACGGTCACTATGGAAATCAGTATAGAGGTTCTCAAAAATTAAAAGTAGAATTATCATATGATCCAGCAATCCATTTCTGGGTATATATCCAAAAGAATTGAAAGCAGATTTTTGAAGAGATATTTGCACACTCAGCTTCATTGCAGCATTATTCACAACAGCCAAGAGATGGAGCTACCCAAATGTCCACTGGGGGATAAACAGATAAGGGAAATGTAATATATACATACAACTGAATATTATTCAGACTTTAAAAAGAATGAGCCTTGAGGACATTAAACAAAGTGAAATAACCCCGTCACAAAAAGACAAGTGCTGTGTGATTCCACTTGTTTTAAGGTACCTAGAATAATCATATTCACTGAAACAAAATGCTGCAGGGAGAGAAATGGGGAGCTGCTGGATGGGAATAGTTTCAGTTTTGCAAGAAGGAAAAGTTCTAGAAGTCTCTTGCACAGCCATGTGAATATAGTTAACACTGCTAAACTGGATCCTTAGAAATAGCTAAGTTGGTAAATTTTATGTTATTTTTACCAATTAAGAGTTTTTTTAAATGTCAAAGGAATAGAAGCCAAACTCAAAGAGCTCCCAGTGGCCAAAGCTGAAACAATTTGAACAAAAATATAATTTAGTATTGAATTAAAATCCAAAGTACAAAATAAATATCCATGAGTACGTGCTGATATAAATGATTGAATAAACAGAAATGAGGCAAATCTCCTGTATAAAATTCCAAATAATTTGTATAGATACTTCCTCTCAATGTGGTGTACATTAAATCTGCACACCTTGAGAGTGGGCTATACTTCATGAATTCAGAAGAGTATGGAAAGGGGGCAGATAGTAACTTCACAGTTTAGAAACCTGGCAGACTCTACCTGGGGCAGGTTAATACCAGTCATGATAGCGCACACTCTCGCTAGGACTTGGTGAGATTGGTACTTGACATCTGGTTGTCCTCTCAAGCACTTACAACCCCAGTCTCACCATGAGAAAAACAGGGCAAACCCAAAGTGAGAGACATTCTACCAGTACCTGACTCTTCAAAATTCAAGGTTATCAAAAACAAAGAATGTTTGAGAAACTCACAGACCGGAGGGGACAAAGCAGATATAATGGCTAAATATGATGTGGCGTTGTAGATGTGATCTAGGAACAGAAAAAGGTCTAAAGAGGAAAACGTATGAGATCCAAATAAAGTACAGAGGTTAGTTAACAATATTGAAAACGTATGAGATCCAAATAAAGTACAGAGGTTAGTTAACAATATTGTATCATTGTTGATTTAATAATTGTGATGAAAAATGTACCATGATAATGTAAGATGTTTACAGTAGGGCAAACTGTGTGTGGAATATGTGGAAACTGTACTGTCTTTTCTATAAATCTGAAACTATTCTAAAATTAAAAGGTTTTCTTTTAATAAATAGAAAATGTGAAATTTAAAATCTATTTGTAATAGCATCAAAAAATATGAAATACTCAGGGATAAATTTGACCAAAGATGTGCAGTAACTATAACCTGAAAATTATAAAATATTTCTCAGAGATAATAAAACCTATGTAATTGAAAGAGGTATGTTTGTATTAGCTTGGGCTGCCAATAACAAAATGCCGCAGGCTGGGTGGCTTAGACAGCAGACTTATTTTCTTAACAGTTCTGGAGGCTGATAGTCCAGCATCAGCAAGTCTGCAAGTATGGGTTCTCCTGAGGGTTCTTACTGTGTCATCATGTCATCGTGTCCTCACATGGCTTCTCTGGGTGTGTGAACTCCTGGTGTCTTTTCTTGTCAGGGCACTGGTCCTGTTGGATTAGGGCCCCACCCTCACGACCTCATTTAACTTAATTACATTTATAAAGGATCTACCCCCAAATACAGTCACATGGGCAGTAGATCGTCAACATTTGAATTTTGAGAAAATAACTCAGTTCACAACAATTTTCATGGATTCAAAGACTCAGTATTGTTAAATTAAGCTAACGATGCTCCCAAGTTGATCTATAGATTTGATGTGATCCCAAACAAAATCCCCGGAGGATTTTTTTAAGTAACATTAGTTCATTATAAATTTTATGTAGAAATGCAGAGGCTTTTAAGACCCAAATAAATTTTACAAAGTTGGAGGATTTGAATAACCTGATATTACAAGATTTATAGAACTAAATAATTAAGACTGGAATTGGCATAAAGGTAACAAATAGATCATTAGGGCAGAACAGAATCCAGAAATAGACCTACACATATATTTTTAATTAATTTTTTTTAATGATTCCAAGGACGACAATGGGAAAAGGATAAACTTTTCCCCGACATGGTGCTGGAATGAGAGGATTGTCACAGACGTAGACACAAAGAGAACCTTGATCTATACCTCTCCATATGGTTAAAAAAAAATTATATCCAAATACAAACATAAATAAACAAATATGAAATATAACAAAATATATGTATTTTACCACTATAAAAGCATCTGTGTTTAACAGAACTAAGTGTAAAAGCTGTAATAATAAAACTTCAAGAAGAAAATCTTGGTGACCTTGCATGGTAGGAAGAATAGTCCCCTGAAGATGCCCACACCTCAGTCTCCGAAATCTGTGAATGTATTAGATGATAAAGATCACATCTCTGCAGATGTGATTAAGGTTATAGGCTGTAAGATTAAAGAGATTATCCTGGTTCATCTGGGTGGGCCCAATCTAATCATAGGAGCCTTTAAAAGCAAAGCACTTTCTCTGGCTGGAGGCAAGAGAAATTGGCAGAAGGGGAAGTTGTAAAATACACATTTGGACACAAGGATTGGCCGTGCTGTTGTTGGCTTATGATGTGTGGGACCCACGTGCAAGAATTGGCAAGAGGCCGCTGGGAGCTAAGGTCAGCCCCCAGATGACAGCCAGCAAGGAAACAGGGACCTCTGTCCCACAGCAGAAAGAAACTAGAATCTGTCAATAGCCTGACTAACCTTGGACACAGATTCTTCCCAGAAGGCTCTGAAAAGAACCAAGCCAGTCAACACTCACATTCGCCTTGTGAGACAGGGCAAAGAAATCATCTAAGTCCACCAGACTTCTGACCCACTAACTTCGGTGAAATAATACATTTGTATTGTTTTAACCTTCTGAGTTTGTGGTCATTTGTTAGAGCATAATACACTCTGAGCTAAGATTTCTTAAATAAATCACAAGAATACAAACTATAAAAGAAAATACAAGGAAATTGGACTTGGAAAATTAAAGACTGCTTCTTCAAAAGGTATTGTATAGGTAATGAAAGGGAACCCCCAGACTGAGAGGAAGTATTTGCAAAACATATCTGGCAAAGGACTTGTATCTACAATATATAAGGATCTCTTACTTCTCAATGACAAGACCAACCACCCAGGTGGTTGTTTTTTTTTTTTAATTTGGCAAAAGATTTGAATGAACATTTCACAAAAGGTATACAAATGGCAAATAAGCACATGAATGATGTTCCACATCATTAGTCATTAGGAAAACGGGAATTAAAGCCACAATGAGAATCCTTACATAACCACTAGGATGACTAAAAGTTAGAAGTCTGACCATGATGTGTGTTGGCAAAGACGTGAGGGCAACTGGACTTCTCATTCACTGCTGTTGGGATTGTAAAATGAGACCATTAATTTGAAAACAGTTTAGCAGTTTCCTAAAAAGTTAAACATAGAATTCAGGCCCATACAAGATGTCACAGATTGGTTTTTCTTGCTCGTCTGGATAAGAACAACCATAAACGATGGAAATAACTAAACAGGCAACCAAAGGAGAACTCCGAAAAGTGGTAAATGGAAGGTGAGCTGGTTTGGTATGCTATGCCTGGGAAAACAAGGCAGTGGTAGGGTGTCTTAAATTTCCCCACCCAACAGAAGCTGGTGACCAAACCTAGCAACAGGAAGAGAGCGCGGGTAGCTCACTCCTACCGCAGATCAAACAGAAGTCCTGAAACGTACACCAGGCAAGCCAGCGCCGGCAACAATGGAGCTCTGCTAAAAGTAGCAGTGAACAGTAAGCCCCACTCCCACCCAGAGCCCTGGCGTTACAGGAGGTGGCCAGTAGAAGGCACCCTGCCACAGAAAGCACCCAGCCAAGGCAGACTTTGTCTTCATTGGCCTGAGACTCTCCTCTCCTGCCCAGAGACACCATGGTTGCTAGCGTAACTGGGGGGGGGGGGGATGAGGGGGGGATGGGAGGAATGTCCCACCATAACAAGCATGTGACCTGTCGGGCTCTCTGTCGCCAAAGATAAGAGAGATCCCACCAGAAGCTCTGGAACAGAAAAGCCTCTTTCTCCCTTGAGACCAGAAAACCCCTTCTCCCAGAGAGAAACCCAACATCCCATTCTGGGAAGGCTCCTCTTATCCGTTCAGGCGGCACAGCAGGGACCAGTGGAAGCCCAGTGGCATCACTTAAGCAGACCAAAATGATACCACTGAGCCTCTAAAAGTTAAACTGTCATTGGAACCGCTATCCACAAAAGTAGGTCAGGACCAGCACATGAAACAGAACAGGATACCTGCCCGCTAAAATAAAAGAATTAAATAGGGCCCCAAATCTCCTAACAATAGAAAAATCACCCTTTACTCTAAAAACCAAGAAAAGCACAACCTGAATGAGAAAGGAATCAACTGACACCAACACCAAGTTTAATCAAATTTTGGAATTATTTAACAAGAAAATGCGAAGAACTACACCCAGAAACTCTTAGAGCCAATCAGTGAATCCAGTAAAGTTATAGGACACAGAATTAACATACACAAATTGGTAGCATTTCTATACATTAATGATGAATTATATGAAAAAAATGACCCCATTTATAATAGTATCAAAACCAATAAAATATTTAGGAACAAATTAAACCAAGGAGTTGAAAGAAATAAACTCATGCTCCCTACTCAGCCTTCTCTGACACCATTCCAGTGGGTAGGGAGTGGGGATCACTTGAAATAATTTGTTCTATATTTGAGGGTGGAAATCTAGACTTTGCGTGTGTGGTGAGGCACAGCCACAGTGTATTTTATACTATTTAGCTCGAGTAGACAGGTTATTCACTAAAACTTCTCTGTCTTGCTAGGCATTCCCTTTTCTGGCCCTTTGACTAGAGTTTTGGGCACGGGGACCCTTTGTGTTTGTTCTGGGTTTTGTTTTTGTTTTTTTGGTCTGCACCTGCTGGCATTCATGGGTTGTTGGCTTCTTCAGCTGCAAGTCTGGGATATATGAGGCATAAAGAAAACCCACAGAACTGACCACCCTTTCCTTCCTTTCCTGTGATATTGTGATTTATAATGAATATATGTTTAGTCTTTGTCCCTATCTCTGGTGTAGATCTCCTAAAATCCTTATAATTTCCTGTAATGAGAGAAAAAGGGGTCTCTTGTTATGTTTGTAAGGTGACTTTTGGACAATGACTAAGATGAGGACTGGCTGCCAGGAGAACAAATCATGAGATTAGAGGGTTGGAGCTTTCAGTCCCACACTCCTACCCCACCAATTACAGGGAGGGGAGAGGGTCTAGAAATTGAGTTCAATCACCAATGGCCAACAATTTAATCAACCATGCCCACGTAACAGAATGTCCATCAAGACCCAAAGGACAAGGTTCAGAGAGCTTCTGGGATGGTGAACACTTGGAGAAGTGGGGAGAGTGGTGCACCTGGAGAGGGCATGGAAGCTCCTCATTTTCCCTGCATACTTTGCCCTGTGCAGCTCTTCCACCCGGCTGTTCCTGAATTACATCCTTTTATAATAAGCCGGTAATCTAGTAGTAGTCTTGTCTGAGCCCTTAACCTGTGGAATCTAATGCTATCTCCAGGTGAATGGTGTTAGAATGGAGTTGAACTGTAGGACACCCAGCTGGTGTCCCAGAATTGCACGATGGTGTGGGGAAACCCCACCTCCCCACACATTGAAAGTAAGCACAGAATCCTTAGGTCGCAAGAACCTTAGCCCGTCTGCCTTCTTCTCTCCACATTTCAGAGCCTTCTTGTGTTTGATTTCCTTGTAATTTCCAGCCGAGTTAATTGTGCTTAGAGGAATGAATAGGGGAAAGTACATCTATTCCATCTTTCTGGAAGAACAGAATTGTTGTGAGAATTGTATGAGGCAGTGATTCTCAACTAAGGGTGAAAGTGCCCCCCCCCCCATGGAGCATTTGGCAAAGTCTGGAGACATTTTTGGTTGTCACAACTGGTTGGTGGGGGTGCTGCTGACATCTAAGTGAGTAGAGGCCAGGGGTGCTGCTACACACCCTACAGTGCACAGGATGGCTCCCCATAACAAAGAATTATCCAGCTCAAAATGTTAATCGTGCCAAGATTGAGAAGCCTTGGTGTGACTTTGGGAAAGGAACTTATGCTCTACAGTGCACCATTTATCATTATCATCGTAAGAGAAAAAAATATTTACATGTGTTTGAGCAAGCTACCTCCTTGGATCAAAGGGTTTTTTCCTTGTGGTTTTACATCAGTGTATGACAAGAATCTTCTATGCTATAGGCTAAGAGAGTTTTAGCTTCCATACTGTAAGCAGAGCGCACCCAGCACAGCCCACTACACACATGAGGCAGCTTGTAAATGCCTACTATCCAGTGCACAGCAGAGCTTTTCAATCCAAAAAGGCCTCCAGATCTTTTAAATAGCAGAACTTAAGGAGAATACGAAGAGGATGACATTAATAGAAGCCTCCAAGCAGGTGAATGAGAAATAAATATTCTAAATACAAGTCTCAGGCTTCAGCAACATTTTCCAGTTGCCAGTCTGGCCTGAGGAGGCTTCAGAGGAAACAGAGAACCAGCTCTGCCTTTCCTCCCGTCAACCCTTAACTACACAACCTACATCCCTTCAACATGGCCGCCCACAGGCCTGCGTGACTGCACAGGCGCCGCCATATTGGCATCAAGTCTAAGCCTTTACAGCGGACGGGGGAGGGGCCAGCACAGCGCCATGTTGAGTACTGGCGGCTTCCAGCACAGAAGCCACTGCTGAGCATGCGCACACCCAGGCGGCGCCTGCGGAATCCCGGAGGGACAGGGAGGGATCGAGCAAGAGGAAGTGGGTCCCGTTGTAGTTCTTGGGATTAAGTGACCACTGTCCTGAAAGAGCTTGGATGAGGAGCAGGTGAGTGCGGGGAGCATGACGGGGCTGAGTGAAGCGGGGGAGGGGCTCTGGTGGCCGCGAGGAGCTTTCGGGTCAGTGATGGAGGCGGTCAGTAGATGAAATAACGGGGGCGGGTGGCGTTTTAATGGTGGCTTCTCGGAGGCTTGATAGAGTGTGTGGGGTCTTTAATGGTGGATCCGCGGAGACTTGGGGTGGGAGTGAAGCGGTCTGTGACGGTGGATTCCCAGGCAGAGAGATGAGGCTTGTGAGCTCTTTGATGTTGCATCCGTGGGCGGATTCCTGGAGTCTGCGGGGCGCAGCTGGGGAGAACAGCCGTGGGGCCCGGGTAATGAGGGATCTGAGGGCTGAGGGATGCTAGATCCTCACTGATTTCCTCCCATATGCTTACTGGTTTGTTTCTATTTCTGTATTTTTTTTTTTACTGTGAATAGAAATAATAAATAATCATAATGGAAACAGAAAAGAGTTTTATTTGAGTCAAACTGAGAACTGTAGCCCAGGCGACAGCTTCTCAGAAGGCTCTGAGAAACAGCTAGGTTGAATCATGGTTTTCAGCATAGTCTGATACCTTAGCAGAACAAAGAGCATACGTCAAACCTGACATGGGTGTATTCCTTCAAGGTTTCAAAGGAGACAGATCTAGTAGGTACACAGCGAGACAGCAGGACCCTGGTGTCTGGGAAGGGAGCCTTACCTTCCAGGGAGTGTTAACGCTGGATGCTATAGAAAAGGAGTTAATTATTCTTATCTTTGAAACAGACATTCTTTATCTTAAAGGTTAAAGCAGACATGCTGTGTGTGTTTGACAGGCAGTTTTAGTTTGTACAAAATTCAGGTTGGAACATGTATAAGCCAAAATGACTTCCCCGTATCTCAATAGATGAATTTTTTTTATCATCATGGTACATTTTACCAGATATTTAAAAAATATATTGCCGTGAGATTGCATATACATTTCAGTTTACCTTAGTTTCATCCCTTCTGTATCCAGATTAGTATCTACTTTGTCATTCGTAATATTTATGTATCATTTTTTCTCTCTGTTTTTTATTATCAGGCAACTCCAGATCTATTTTATTGGCCATTTGAAATACCGATTGTGTTTGTACTGTCTACTCTTTTTATCCTTTTCTGTTTAGATAATTTATCTTTTTTCTCCATTTGATGTAAATTGTCATCCTTACCCTTACCTTCCCAGTCTTTTACTGGCTATGTTTAACCGTACAAAGTTTCTTTTAAATACATCTTTATCTTTGAAATGTATCATTTCAGTTTGATGTTCCACTTTGATCCTGAGTTATTTGAGTTTCTTCATTCCCACATTATTAAGACATGTTTTTAATTGCTTGTTTTAATATTATTGAATTGTCATGAACTGTAGCCTGCAAAGTCTCAACTTTGAAAAATTTATCAAGATTCTTTGAAGACAAGTTACACAAGGTGCATTGAACTTTGTTCAATGGATATAAGAGAAAGTGTAGTCTCAATTTGTATGGTGCAAACTTCTCTTTATGTATATTAAATATAATCCAGGTGATTTCCAGGTCTTTCTCTTTCCTATTTTTGGTCTACATCATATTCTAAAAGACATGAAATAATCATCTCTAACTAATACTTCACTGTAGTTCTGTGTGCTTTTTTGCTAACTTTATTTGTGTGTGTTTGGGGAGACGCCATACATACACCTCATAGTTAATGTATTTTGTATCACTTTTTTCTCATATTGAATGCTTTTATTATAGGACCTCTCTTTTCAACAAAAAGCAATTTCAGCCTTGAATTTCTCTTTGATATTTGTATTGTCATTCCTGCTTTCAGTTTCATTTTATTTGGGTGATTTATCTTTGCCCAGAGCTTTATTTTATATTTGTATTTGTATTGTTTAGGTTAACTACTTGTAATGGAAACATTTTGGTTTTTTCAAATCTAACCTATAACCTAGTCTTTGTTTGTTTGTCAATAGGATATTTTACCTTTTCAGTTTAGTGTGATAATGATTTACCTGATTTTATACTTTCCATTTTAATGTTTACTGTTAATTTTGACTCATTATTTTCTGCTTTTTCCTCTTCATACTTTTATTGAATTGATGAAATTTCTGTTCATTGTTTCCATCTACACCCAGATAACTTTTGTTTTTTTCCTGACATAATTAGAAATGTTTTGTCAGTGGATAGTATTATTAATTTTCTGTTTAATGGCCTCCTTATCATATCATCATTGTCCTTTTTAATAATTAAAAATCTCTTGCAAAGATTTTTGCTGAAGAGTATTTTTCTATTTGAGATTTCTCACCTGATTCATTCAATACTTTTGTGGGTATTTTCCTCAGATGATGAAGGGAATATTCTGAACTGCTTTTATTTCTGAAAATGTCTTTCTGTGGCCCTAATAGAGAAGTGGTCTTTCAGATGATACTTCTGGCATCGATCATTTCGCTTTCATTACTGCAAATGAAGCATCTTGATTTTCTTAATTCTTTCTCTGCAAATAATCTGTTCTTTCACACATGCTTTAGATTTAGAAGTGTTTTAGATTTTAAAATTTATCTTTAAAATTCAAGAATATTCCTAGATTCGTTCATTGATTGAGTCCCATCCTGTGTGTGTGTGTGTGTGTGTGTGTGTGTGTGTGTGTGTGTCTGAGACAGTCTGTCTGTGTCTGTGTCTGTGTGTAAGTTTGCAGAAAAGGTTGATGGTATGTATAGGCCTAATGAGTGGAGTGGGTAGTGGGAGGTGTGCTTGGCTGATTTCTCAGGGCCCGCTGCAGGTGCAGTGTGTCTGGAATTGAAGTCTTGGGATCCTTGAAGGAGATGCTTAGTGGTAGTGTGGGCAAAGAATGTCACCTGCCATGTCAGTAAACAAAGGATATTGTGGCCACCAAGCCATCAGCCACTGCAGCTGCTCCTGACAGTGCACCTCGAGGGGATTCAGGATGGAAAAAACCAGGATACTGGCCCTAGGTAGTTAAGGTGCACATCAAAGGGATGATTTCAGTGAGTCCAGACTCTTGCGTCTTCCCATCCATAGAAAAGTGCTAAATTCATTAACTTGAGAGGTCTGGATTTTCTTTAATCAACAGTAATCTTTTGATGTTCTGACTACTTGGTTTTGTTTATTTATTTGTTTGTTTGTTTGTTGCAAAAAGTCCTATATATCCTGGCTCCTTTCTTACCTCTTTGGAAAGTCCCTCAGAACTCTCTGAGAGGCTGAATCCTGGGCTTCAGTCCTCAGCGGCTCCCCTGAATAAAAAATAATTCTCACCTTTTAGGTTGTGCCTTTTTTCTCCCCAGTGGAGACAGTGGTGATAAAGGTGTGGAGGCCAGTTATTGGTACGTGTGGTATTGTATTATAATAAGAAGGATATATTTTGGTTTTCATCCACCATTCCCAGTGCATAGCTCCTGACACCTTTGTAATTTCCTAAGTGATAAGGGCCATAGGGGTGTCTTTTGTTTCTGGCTCCTGAAATAGCTCCCGAGGGATAAAGGTGAAATGGATGCTCTTTGTTATAAATAATAAGTTCCTTTCAACCCCACCTGAGTTTATGTTGATGAAGTGACATTTGGAAAGCCTCTAGAGAATCACTGGGTGGGGGCTGGTTGCCAGGAGAACCAACCAAGTTATTAAGAGTTTTGGAACTTGAAACCCACCCCCTGGCTGGAGGTTGAATCAGTCACCAATGGCCAATCATTTAATAAATCATCTGTACATACTGAAGCCTCCACAAAACCCCAAAAGGATGGAGTTTAGAGAGCTCCTGGATTGAACACGGGGAGATTCCGGGAGAGTGGTGCACCTCTCGTGGCATATCTCGCCGTATACGTCTCTTCAATCCGGTTGTTTCTGAGCTATATTCTTTTATAATAAGTGGGTAATCTAAAAAGTAAAGTCGTTTCTTGAGCTCTGTGGGCTGCTCTAGCAAATTCACGGACCCCTAGGAGGGGGTCCTGGGAACCTCTGATTTATGGTCGGTTGGCCCAAAGCACAAGTAACAACCTCAATTTCATTGGCACCTGAATTTGGGGTGGGCACAGCCTTGTAGGACCGAGCCCTTAACCTGTGGGATCTAATGCTAACTCCCAAGTAGGTGGTGTAGGTGGTGTCAGGATTGAGTTAAACTGTAGGACACCCAGCTGGTTTTGTAGAGTTCCTTGAGACCCCTCCCCCAACACACACACACACACACACACACACACACACACACACACACACACACACACACACACACACACACACACACACACACACACACACACACACACACACACGAGTTGAGCCTTGAGGCTCTGGGATCAGGGACTGCAGAATGAGTGACTGGGGTCCCTGGGCAGCAGGACACGGGAACCAGTGGTTCTGAGGTGTGAGTAACGGGCCCTGGGGTGAGGTCAGTGTACAACCATCAGCAGCTGTAGCAGGCAGACTGAGGAGCGGGGGCGAGGAATTAGGTGCCAGAGCAGGTGATGACTTGAGGGACCGGTGAAGTCAGATGAAGTATGAAACAGTCAGTAACTGTGTTCTAGGTGGGTTACTGATTTTGTAATAGTGACAGTAGCCACTATTTAATGAGTGCTTATGTGCCACTCATGGGCCCAATGGTGATCAAGTACTATAAAATTGGTTTATTTCTCTTCAAAGTATAAAAAGGAGGAAACTGAGACTGAAGTAAGTCCCTCAGACTGTCACAGCTGGAAGGTGGAAGAGCTGGGGTTCAGATGTTCCTTGATTCGGTTCCACACCTTTTGTCTCCCCTGTGCCACACTGTTAGATGCACTCGTGGGAGGACAGCCGAGAGGCTGTCACCGAGTGGCACGCTCCCTGCCAGGAGCCCCCTGTGTTTCTGCAGAGCTCTGAGGGCAGACCACTTAGTTGAGCCTTTGGGATCTTTTTGTCAGACTCCAGCCAACCTTGGCCAATAATCACTGGCAGCCTTTGGGTGTTCATTCAACTCCTGGGAAGACTGGCGTTCTAAGATAACACAGAGGTGAGGCCCAGGATGAACATGCCAGCCGAGGAGAGCTTGTCCCAAAGACCCCTTACCCAGCTCAAATCCTGCTTCTCCAGGGATGTGACAGCTCCTGTGAGCGGGGAGGGGGAATCCCAGACGCAGGAGATTTCTCAGAGCTGGACTTGCTAAAACAAAGCATGATCTTTTGCAATGTGAAAAGTACTGGGCCGGTGCCATGTTCTCCAAGGCTTTTCCCTGTAGTGGGAAAGGATTTATTTTTTAAAAATTTTTATTATAGAAACTTTCAAACTTACACAAAATCAGAGAAAATACTGTAATGAAGCCCCAGATGCCCTCATCACCCAGTCTCAGTAATAATCAACCATTTGCCACTATCGTTTCACCTGCTCTTCCCACCTGTTTTGTTTTAGTGAGAATATTTTAAAGCAAATCTTGGATACCGTGTCATGTCACCCACGAAACTTCAGCATGCAAATCCAACTGATGTGGGCAATTTTTTTTCCCGCATAGCCAGCAGGCCATTACCCACCCAACGAAAGTTACATAGCTCCCTCATATCATCTGAGACTCAATCTGTTAGTCACAGATTATTGTGGATGAAGAAAGTCACCTGCCGTGTCAGTAAACAAAGGATGTTGAGACCATCAAGCCATCAGCCACTGCGGCCACCCCTGACAGTGCACCCCGAGGGGACTCAGGATGGAAAAAACCAGGATAGTGGCCCTAGACAGGGAAGGTGCATGTTAAAGGAATGATTTCAGTGGGCCCTGACTCTTGCATCTTCCCATCCATAGAAAAGTGCTAAGTTCATTAACTTGAGATGTAGATTTTCTTTAATCAACCGTAATCTTTGATGTTTTAACTACCTGTTTATTGTTTCTGTTTTGTTTCATTTTGCAAAAACTCCTGTATATCCTGGCTCCTCCTTTCTCTCTTTGGAACAGTTCCTCAGAGCTGTCTGAGGGGCTGTATCCTGGACTTAAGTCCTCAGCAGCTCCCCTGAATAAAAAGTAATTCTCAGCTTTTAGATTGTGCATATTATTCAGTCAATATTATCAAAAAATGACTTTTTAAACATTTTTTCTATGAAAATCTAAAAAATACAAATGTACAAAAAGTGATGTAAATGTTCCCCGTTTACCCATCAATTTCCACAATTACCGAGTCACAGTCATTTGTTATCTGTCCCTTCTTCCAACACTTTGCCTTTTCTGTTGGATTATTTTGAAGCAAATCTCAAACATTTTGTCATTTTACCCGTATTTCAATATATCCAATTATTTTAATAAAAATAGCCACAGGGCTATTATCACACCGTAAAAAATTATAATACATTTTAAAATACCATTTTATGTTGATTGAATTGGTAGGTAGATTTAGAGACTCGATCAGATTCAGGTTTCTTTTTTGTTTTTTGGGGAGCAGGTCTACTTCCCAGGCGATATTGTGTACATCAGGAGGCACGTAATGTCTGGTTATCTGTTTTTGTGATGTGAGCAGCCGCTGATGCCTGTTTAGATCCATTTTTCATTAGGGGTGCAAAATGGACATTTTTCCCATTCCTTCACTTGTAGCCAGAATAATTTATATAAATAGTGTTTGATTATCCTAAATTCCAGCAATGTAAGAAAGTTAGTAGAGATGCTTGACTCTTGCATTTTTTTTGTTTGTTTGTTTTTACAAGTTTGATGGTTTGATTCACTAACAGTTTCCAGAGGTTCTAGAGAAGTTCTCTCTCATGATCTAGATGGCAGGTGCACAAGCCTGAAAAATAGGGAAAAGTGCTGAATACCTAATATCCATGTGCTTTATATAAATTATACCACACAGAAGAAAATCAGCAAAGAAGTAACCCAAAATTTGTTTATATTAGAAAAGTGTATTTAATAGAAATACCTCTAATATAAAAGTTAGAAGCAAAAGTAAATTTTAAAAGTCCATCATAAAAAAATATTGGGGAGGACAAGTCTAGGGTAAAAGGGACACAGGGGCCAATGCATGAGCCTTGATTGGAAACTGCTTCCAAGAAAACAGCAAGAAAAGGTGTTTCTGGGGTAATTGGGAATTTCAGATATGCGCTGAATATTAAAATGATATAGAATTGCTAATAATTTTCTCAGGTGTGATATTGATCTTTTAGGAGACTTATGTGATATATTTAGGAATGAAATGTCATGACAACTGCAACTTTCAAAAGGTTCAGCAAAAAAAAGATACAAATGTATACATATACTCAGATATTCATATATGTATGAATTTACATGTAACTTTATGTGTATCTAGAAAGATTAACCAGGAATGACAAAATACTAATTGTTGGAACCAGATGTAAAGTATATGTGTGTTTCTTGTACAAACAATTCAACTCTCCTTTATGTTAGGAAATTCATTAAAAAAAAATCAGAAAGCAATGGCTTCAGTCAGCTAAGTGACTCAGCTCAGGTCTTAAGGTTTGTTTATTAACTAGAACCAAGTTCATTTGCTATATTGTAGCTAAGACAGAGTTTCCACTGACAGGTCGCTTTTAAGAACTGTAAGCAAAGAACAGTGAAAAAGCTAGAAGTCTCCCTTTCTGGTCTTTATGGATATTCTCGCTACTTGTGATGGGCTAGTCACAGAAGCTCGGAACAAAAATCGTTATATTCTTTAAAAACAGTTACTTTGTCTTTGACCAGCAAATAAGAACATAAGCATTCAAATTACCTATAATTTTACCATCACCCAAATATTATATCTGTTAACATGTTAGTGTATTTCCTTCCCGGTAATTCACTCTGTGTGCGGGAATGCATTCCTGTTATGTGTGTATGCGTGTATGTGTTCATGCGTAGGTACACACAAACTGTTCAATGAAGATGGAATCATACTGTTTGATACATCTTTTTATTCTTGGCCGTTAACATATTTTTCTACAGTGGTTTAATTTTTTTAACAGTGGTTAATTTTACAGACTGTATCTTTTGGATATCCTATAAAGTATTTAAGCTGTCTACAATTAATTAGGTATCAAGATGTTTCTAGCCTTTTTTTTTTTTTTTGGTGTTAGCTATGCTCTGGTAAAACTCCTGCATTTAAATTTTTGTGTAACACAGGATGATTTTTTATAATGTAGTTCTAGAAATAAGTTTTTGGGTTAGGTGCATGGACACTAAATGATGTTTGTGTCTACGTGTGATACGAACTCCATTCTCTTATCTGTCCCTCTGTCAATCTGTTTTCTCAGATCTCTGCCCTTTTCCCAGAAGAACCAGAAATGACCAAGTCCCTGGTGAGTTCTTACTTGTTCATGTGTTTACTTGTTGCTTTCTTTATTTTCTAGTGGATTTTAGGAGGCATCTATTAACCCATACAGTAAGGTGGACAAGTATAAATAAATAAAAACTAAGATCAGAGAAAATAAAGACTCTCAACTCCAAGTCAAGCTTGGATTATAGATATATGTGAGTTGTGTGGCTTCACAGTTAGGAACTTTGGACTGTAAAATTGTCTCTGATCTTCCTGAAAGACACAACAGTAAAGGGAATGAAACACATGGTTTATGTTGTTGAGAAGTAATGCGTTTCACCTATTGTAGACTTCCTGCTTCTTGGTATTTGAGAAAAATTTTGATAGATCTTCAGATGAAGGGAAACAGAGCAGTGACTTCAGCCAACCTGTTAGAAGTGCACTAGCAGGTTCTGTCCTGCTGACTTATAAACCGGTGCTTCTCACACTTGCTCATGACTTCAGATTCTAATTTAGTGGGGCTGGGACTCCCATGGGGTGTTAGTGCTGCTGGTCCGAGGACCACCTTGTGAAGCAACGTTTTGCGTTTTATTATGAATGAGTGTTGAATTTTGTGAGATGCTTTTTCTGCATCTGTTGAGATGGTCAGGTGATTTTATTTCTTCAGCCTGTTGCTATGAAGATTACATTGATTGATTTCCAAATATTGAACCAGCCTTGCAACCTCTGAATAAATTCCCCTTGGTCATAACGTACACTTCTTTTTATATATCTGTATTTGCTAATATTTTGTTAAGGATTTTTGTATCATATTTTTGGGGGATATAGACCTGTTTTTTTTCCTTTGTTATTGCTATGTATGGATGAAAGTCTCAAACCCACACCTGGCTTTTTTCCTTTTCCACACCAGAGTGTGAAGGGGCACATTTGTTCAGCCAGGCAAAAGTGGGAATCTAAGCTACTCCCTGGTTTTTTTCTGATGGTTATGTGATCAGGCCCAAAGGTTTTTTTTTTTTTTTTGGTTTTTTAATCAGTTATGTTTGGCTGGAGTACGTTTTGTCTAAAACTTTCCTGTCTTTCTAGGTTGCCCCTTTCCTGGTCTTTTAGCTAAAGAGAGCAGACTTATTTTTGTTTTTTTCACGTGCCCTTGTTGGCGTTTCTGGGTTGTAGGATTTTTCTAGTACCTGGTCAGGGCAGTATGAGTCAGCTGACTTCAGGGAACGCGTGCTGTGTAGTTCCTTGGCTCCTGAAGCCCCTAGACAGTTGGCCTTTTTTTCTTTAACCTTTCAGAGTCTTCCTAGGTTTGTTTTATGGAGAATGTCTGTGGTTTCTAGATGTATCTAGTGGATGAACAGGGACGAGTGCGTCTACCCCATCTTTCCAGGAGTCGAAGTCAGTTCACTGATTTTTTTTTAAAAAAAAGAGTTACTTATATATTAAGCATATTTTTCTTATTTTTTTAAATTGTATTTACCTCTTTGTTCTTTGCATCTTAACCTTTAAAAGTAAATATTTAATTTTGGGTATCATGGAAATTATACTTGTATTTACTGAGTCAAAAAGTTTTTTGAGGCTTCCTAGAAGAAACAGCTGTCATCTGCTCTCTTACCCCTCGAATTCCAGTTTCTCAAAGGTCACTCTGAACTCAGTTGAACTAATTCATTTAGTATTTGCTTTCCTATGTCTTAATAACATGTTTATATTTGTACCTCTTGGTTTTCAGTTTTAGGTGGTATCTACTGACTTAGCACAATGAAAAATAAGGTTTTAACTCTCTTTTAGACACTTAAGCCTTCAACACTCACATGCACATTTCTTAGGTCCCCTCCTACTTAAATAGGTATATTATAATTTGGGGTAAATCAATAGGCTGTATTTATTATTATGGTTATTTTAATTCTCTCTCAGTTAAACCATTTATTTTACCTTTTATGCACTATTATTGTGTCTTACCTGGAATTAATTATTGTTTGGTTTAATCATTTGTTTCATTTTCCGTATTTGGATCACTAATTGAACTCCATATTCTTCCCAGGTATATATATGTCTTCTCAATATGTTAAAGTACACTAGCTAATAGCAGTCACAGTAATCACAGACGTTAACATCGTGCTTAGTATATGCTGGGCACCGCTAACGCGCTCTATGAACTGATTTAATCACACCGCTTTACAGTATCTGTAATCATTATCCTCATTTTACAGGGGAGGAAACAGACCCACAGAGAGCTTAACTAACTTGCCCTAGATCACACTGCTAGTCAGTGGTGAAGCCAAGAGTAAAACCCAGGCAACTGGGCTCCAGAATATAGGCTATTTATTTGAGCTGTTGGAAGAAACTTCCCTTGGCGTCTTTGACCTGCTTGAAGTTGCTGTCTGTTGGATACTCATCCACTGACTGGGGGTCTCCTCTTAGCGTGGTGCTAGGAATTCCTTTCGCGTCCCTTGAGTGTTGGATCTCTTTTCTGGCTCTTTCCTGACTTATGCTTTCATTTTTAGAGAATATTATCCAGTAGCTCTCTAGAAAGTGTGTGTGGAAAGTAAATTTTTTGAGACCTTGCATGTCTGGAAATATTTTTATTTTACCCTTAATAATTTCACAGCTAATTCTAGATTGTAAATCATTTTTACTTAGAATTTTTTTTTACATTTTTTATTGATTCATAATCATTTTACAGTGTTGTGTCAAATTCCAGTGTTCAGCACAATTTTTCAGTCATTCATGGACATATACACACTCATTTAAGCTATTGTTTTTTACCTTTACCATCGCACTTTCTCTTACTGGATGTGGTAAGCAGAATAAAGGCCCCCACAGGTGTCCACGTCCTGATCCCTGGAACCTGTGAACGTTACCCCACGTGGCAGAAGAGACTTTACAGATGTGATTAAGTTCAGGATTTTGAGGTGAGGAGGAGATTGTCTGGCTTATCTAGGTTGGGTTGGGGGGCAGTGTAATTACAAGGGTTCTGATAATTGAAAGAGAAAGGCAGGAGGGTCAGAGTCAGGGAGAGATCTGAAGATGCTACTCTGCTGGCTTTGAAGATGCAGGAAGGGGCTATGAGCCTCCAGAAGTTAGATAAGGCAAGGAAATGAGTTCTCCCTTATAGCCTGCTGACCCGATAAGACCCATTTTCAACTTCTGACCTTCAAAACTGTAAGATAATAAATTGTGTTGTTTTAAGTGTGTTGTAACTTGCTGCAGTAGCAATAGGAAACCATTACAGGTTTTGGAACCTGGAAGTGGAATGATGCTGTAACAAATACCCCGAAATGGGGAAGTGGCTGTGGAATTTGGTAATGGACAGAAACTGAAAATTTTGAAGAGTGTAATAGCAAGAGGCAAGGTTTCCTTGAACAGACTGGTAAATTGAAATAGGGCTGTTAACTCTGAGAGGGGAATCAGAAGGAAGTGAGGAGCACGGTAGAAAAAAACCTGTTTTGTTTCAGAGAATACCTAAGTTATTATTAATATCAGACTATTGATAGACATAGGAGTGTTATTCCTTTAACAACAACGAAAAAGAAATAGGAATGTTAAAGATGCTGCTGGTGAAGACTCAGAAGGAAATGAGGAACATGTTACTGGAAGCTGAAGGAAAGGACATCTCTATTATACAGTGGCAGACAGTTTAGTGGAATTTTGTCCTGTAATTATGTGGAAAGTAGATTTGTTAGTGATGCACCTGGATTTCCCTCTGAGGAGATTTTCAAGGGAAAGTTTGGAGATGTAGCCTGGTTTCTGCTTCCTGCTTATAGTAAAATGTGAATGTTAAGAGAAAGAGATCGAAGGAAGAACTGTTGAGCAAAAAAGAATTAGACCTGATGATTTGGCAAATTTGGGGGCTATCAAGATGCCAGAAGACACTGAAGTTAGTTTCACTATCAGGAAAGTATGCTCTTGAGAGAAAGCCAAGGGTGCAGGTAGATGCTTTATATATTTTTCTAGGTTTTTAGGTAATTAACAGGAGGAATAGGGCGGAATGCACTTAACTCATTTTGTTTTTTTTTTCTTGAACTGGAAGTCTCAGTCTTTGCTGTTAACTTGATTGTTTGGTTTATTTACATTTAATGTAATTACTGATATATTTGAATTTGTATATCCAGTTTTATTCATTTCATATTTCATTTATATTTGAACCATCTGTTGATTTTTCTGTTCCTTTCTTGACCTTTCTTTCAGTCAAAATTAAAATTTTTACTTTGTTAACTTGTTTGTTATATATTCTTTTGTTTCCCTAGATGTTAGAATATTCATCTTTGACTCATTATTATTTCATCCTCTTGTCAATAGCTGTTACAGCACCTTAATTCCACTTACTGCTTCTCATTTTTGCATTATTATTTTCATACATTTAATTCTACATAAATTTTAAAGTTCACAGGATACTACTGTTACTGTTTTTGTATAGTCAATATTTACAGTTTTGTAAAGTGGGGTTTGAGAAGCTTCTTGAATCTTTGAGTTGATATCATTCACCATTACCTTTTCAAATATTGCTTATGCCTCATCTTTATCTTCTCAGACAACAATATGTTATTCCTTTTCACTGCCTTACATGTGACACGTCACATGCTCTTGTGTTTATTTTCATTAAAAAAACCTGTCAATATCTTGTGGTAACCTGTACTGAAAAAGAATATGAAAACAAATATATGTGTGTATATGTATGGCTGAACTATTGTGCTGTACACCAGAAACTGACACAGCATTGTAAACTGACTGTACTTCAACTAAAAAAAAACCCCTCTGTGGGTCCGTTTGGATATTTTCCATTTGCTTGTCTTCCATTTCAGTCATTCCATATTCCGCTATTTAAAATTTCTCAGTTCTTAATTTTGGATACTGAATTTTCATTTGATTTTTTTTATTATAAGTCCCATTTCCCTAATGAAATTCTCCATCTTTTCATCTTACTCTAATCCTCTGTAGAACTGTTTCTATTGATTTTTTTTTCCCCTCTGGTTTGGATGTGTGGCCCTGTCTTTGGGCAGGCGAAGGATTTCTTTTATTGTATCAAACCGTGGTTAAAGCATTGTAGAGGATCTAGGTTATGGTCTCTTTCTCAGAGGACTCATTTCTCCCTCTGTTGGCAGGCAGAGTGGAGAGTGAATACCTTTATCCGGTCAGGCACAGTTGAATCAAGGCTGAGTAGAAGCCCTAGTAAGAGTCTGCCTCTGGGTCACTCTGGCCATCCAGGATTTTCAGCTAAGAGCCCGGTTTGTCCACTGTGGACCCTCCTCCTTGCAAATGCCGACTCTGTTTTCTTACCAGACTACTAAAATTTTGCTTTGCTTTTCAGAGGCTGTCTACTTAAGTTCTTAGTCTTCTGTTCATACAGCCTGAGAATTTGGCAGATGTCCGGGGTGGGGGGGGAACTGGCCGTGTGTTTGAGCTCCCCTGGTTTCTCTGTCACCCAGCCGTAGCCTTCTGCTGGTCCAAAGCTGGATTCTTACCGTTTGCCCACACCCAGAATTGATAAATACTCCCAGTAAAAAAGTGGCTACATACATCAGATTAAATCTTCAATGTTCTCTAGAGAGTCTTAGCCCCTAATAGCTTTCCAGCACTTTCAAACAGATGGTTTCAGAATTTCATCTGGCGTTTATAGTTTTTCTGGAAAGAAGCACTGGATTGCCACAAGCTATTATGTGCCATCTGGAAATAACAATGCCTCAAGAGGGTCCTCGTCACATATCATGTAGTTTGCCCATTTAAAGTGTGCATTCAATGGTTTTTAGTATATTTACAGAGTTGTTCAACCTTTACCATAGTTTTAGAACATTTTCTTTCCCTGCCCCATCCAAACTCATACCTTTTAGCTGTCACCTGCCAAATCCTCCCATTGCCCCTAGCCCTGGGCAACCAGTAATCTTTCTTTCTCAGTGGGTTTGCCTGTTCTGGACATCTCATATAAATGGAATCATACAATATGTGGTCTTTTGTGATTGACTTCTTTCACTCAGCATAATATTTTCAGGATTCATCCACATTGTAGCATACATCGTACTTCATTCCTTTCTGTGGCTGAGTAATATTCTCTTGTATGGATATACCACATTTTACTGAATAATATTCTCTTAATACCACATTTTAAAATTCATCATTAGTTGACATACATTGGCTAAAGATATTGAGAACCTCTCTTGTGCTTTTTGGCCATTTGTGTATCTTCTTTCGAGAAATGTATATTCAGTTTATTGGCCCATTTTTAATTGGATTGTTTATCTTTTTACTGAGTTACAAGAGTTCTTTATATATTCTAGATACAAGTCCTTTATCCGATATGTAATTGCAAACATTTTCTCTGAGCCTTTGGGGTTGTCTTTTCACTTTCGTGATAGTATCATTTTAAGCAAAGTTTTTAATTTTGATGAAGTCTGATTTATCTGTTTTTTTCTTTGGTTGCTTGTGCTTTTGATTTTATATCTAATAAATCATTGCTACATCCAGCATCACAAAGATTTACCCTTTAGCTAAAGTGTAAGTCCTTTTGAACATTTAGGCCTTTTGATCCATTTTGAGTTTGGTTTTTTTTTTTTTTTGTATGGCATGAGGTAAGCATCCAACTTCATTTTTTTGCGTGTGGATGTCCACTTGTCTCAGCACTATTTGTTGAAAAGACTATTTCTCCCCTTTTAAGTTGTTTTGAGACCTGTGTTGAATCGTCAGTTTACTATAAATATGAGGGTTTATTTCTGGATTCTTGGTTACATTCCATTGACCATTTTTCGAAAAAGGAGCCTATTTTATTCATCTTTTTTAAAGAAAGAATAAACTTACTCAGTAGGTTGCTGAGTTCAGTAAAATGAAAGGCTGAATATACTTCCTTTTTTAAGAAAAGTGTTAATGAAATATGGCGTACATAGAAAAGAAGGCACATATCAAATGTGTGCAGCTTGATACATTTTCACAGCTTATTCTTTTGTAACCAGTACACAAATAAAGACTAAACCAAAACCCAGATTAGTATCAGAACCACAGAAAGAATGGCATAATATTTTTAATATTTCTTTTTCCCTTGAAAATAATAATGTAAAATTTAGGTATTTATTGGGAACCTTATAGGTTGTATCATGTTAAAAATTTATTAAAAATAAGTTCCTAAATGTCTTGTTCTTGTCCCGCAATCCTGACTCCTTACCCTGAAGAGGCATGTGTTTTTCCAGGGATCAGTGTCTTTCAAGGATGTCACTGTAGACTTCAGCAGGGAGGAGTGGCAGCAACTGGACCTTGCTCAGAAAAGCCTATACACGGATGTAATGCTGGAAAACTATTTCAACTTGATCTCAGTGGGTAAGCACAGCTCTGCTGGGCAAGGCTGTATCTCATTGAGTGTATTTTCTTTCTCAGTGGGATCTCTGACAGCTGTGGGATTTCTGAGGCATGTGGGACTTCCAAAGATGGCAGGACATCTGAAGTATGTAATACTTCTGTCCTGATTTTGTCCTGTATTCTTAACAATTTCTTCTGGGTATTATGAGTCTACTTCCGTTTCCCTATGAACTTTTCTGAAAAGTAAATGGAGTGCTTTATTGTATGGCGTCTGAAATCAAGTCTTCTGTCACTTCCTCTTGCTAGGGTGTCAAGTTCCCAAACCAGAAGTCATTTTCAACTTGGAGTTGGGAGAAGAGCCGTGTATGTTGGATGATGGAACCTCCAGCCAGAGCTGTCTAGGTGAGTAGGAAACCAAAGCGTAGGAGACAGTGGAACTGAACTGAAGTTGTACCGGCAGAGGCTGGCAGCTTTGAAGTGCTATTAATATGATGTTTCTCTAACATCCTGAACTTTCGGAACCACATGGATAGAGTTGATATTGGCCCCTTGGAAATCTAAACGTCATCCCCACTGCAGGCTGCTTCCAATATCGGTGTATTTGCTTGACTTCTTTAAAAAAATTTTTTAATTGAAGTATAGTCAGTTTACAGTGTTGTGTCAGTTTCTGGTGGACGGTGTGCTTGCCTTTTGAGGAGGGATGTGCTACAGCTACTCATGGTTTTTGCTTGTTTTTTCCC